AATGTTTTATTTCTGCTACTGCCATTTTAGAACAATATCAAACTTTTAACACAAAAGACACCAGAAGAAAAACTATTTTAAGAAGAACTATTAATAAACTTAAAAGTGAAATGATCGATGAAACAATACAAGAGCTGCTTAATAGTGATAAGTATTATATAAGAGACGAAGATAATGTATTTTTAATGATATCAAAAGAAAAAATAGATATTTTGAAAAACAAAACTATTGCTTACTTATGCATGGACGGTACCTTTGGGTCATGTCCGAATGATTACGAACAACTTTACACAATTCACTGTATTTTAACAAATGGTCAATGTTTCACCCTTGTACACAGTTTGATAATTCATTGCAGAGAAATCGATTATGTGTTGCTATTTGACATAATCAATGAATTTTTTGTTGAATGTTGTGGTTGTCCACTTTTCCATAAAGATGTCAGTGTTATGGTTGATTTTGAAACCGCAGCAATTAACAGTCTCAGCAAATATGGGTGAATAATTCACGGTTGTTACTTTCATTACACCCAGTGTATCTGGAGAAAAGTAAACAGTATTGGTTTGTCGAGTATGTATCATCCCGGTAATCAATTTTGGAATCTGGTTTCCAAACTAAAAATGTTGGCATTTTACAAGCCAAGTGAAATTGAACAACCTTTTGAAAGTATAGTTGAATACAAAAATTCTTTGGTTTTTGATGTGCAAACAAAAGACAAAGTTGATGAACTGGTTGTTTATTTTAGGAACAACTGGATATTAAAATGGTCAATTAACTTGTGGTGCCAATTTAATCAAACTATCAGAACCGACAACTTAAGTGAATCTTATCATTCAGCGTTGGTTAAAAGACTCAACTGCAAAAGACCAACTCTCAATTACCTTCTTATCAATTTAATGAAATACGAAAATAGTGAAACAATTAAATCAAAACAGATTGATAAAGGAAACAATCATTATTATAAAAGACCGACAAAAGTTTTTAATTTGACATTAAATTATTATAGTGGAAATGGGTCTATTGAAAACTTCGAACAGAACATGGTTGAAACAATTGACTTTTTGGGGTGGAACAAATTATATGAAATGAGAGAGGAAATTGACAACTTTGAATTCAAAGATGAGAAAAAAAATTAATATACAGAAAGTTGATGAACAATTTATCGGAGAAATACGTGATTTTAATTGTTTAAATAAAGTACCAAATAACGTGGAAGTAATGGATAGTTCGAAAAATAACACAGAAGTTATTTTGAATAAAAGTGTTGATGAATTGGTCAATAAAATAACAAAAGAAAACGTACATGTTATTTCAAAACATAGAACGATTATTATTGACAAACAACCAATCGTTGCAAAACTATGTGTTAAGGAAAAAATCACGTATATACCACCTTCAAAAAGACACATACCGGGTGATGGGAAAAGAAAGAAAAAGAGTTCTAAAAGAAAGAAAGAAGTTAAAAGAAGTAATTAAATATTTATTGGATTACTATAACACAATAATATTTGTAAAATCTTATTTTTATAATTAATTAATTTTTCAAAATAATAAAATAAATTTTAAAACATCACACGCTTTTTAACTGTTAAATTATTATTAATAGCCAATTTATTAAAATCCAATAAATTTTATTTCATTTATATTATTTATTATTTACCATATTTGTATCTGTGTAAAAATAAATACAAAAAATTAATAAAACTTGTTAAAAAAGTACCTTTTATATTGTTTTTTACCATATAATTAAAAGTATAAGTTATATTTAACTTTTAAGTTGTATATATTTTATTTTTATCATAAATAATACCATTAAATTTCCTTCAAATATTTAATTTATTTAAGATTGTTATAAAGTATTGTTTTTTTTTATTTTTTTTAATGATATGAAATACAGTTTGATGAGTAATGAGCAAATTATTGTTACAACATACTAATAAGAGTTTGTTGTAAAACGTTGTCCCAATTGCCAAAGTTGGTTTTTTCAATTTATACACAAACATTTGTTTAAAATCACGGGAATCAGGTAAAAATAAAAAAAACGGTAAAAAACTGAAACGACGATTTTTTTTATATTTTCAACATGATCCCGATATTTTCCAATTTTCATTGACCAAAAATCCCAAGACAACGTTTTCGACTAACTCTATTTGGTTTATCATTTGTTGATAAATACAAAAATAACCCCATTTTGATCTTTCAATAAAAGTTATATTGTTTCGAATGTGTTATTAATAATTTATGAAGGGAACTTACTGTACTTTTCTGTTTATACCGATTTAGAGTGATTTTATAAAGTTTTAGAAACTAAAAATAAAACATTGTATGAAAATAATTGAATTGATTTTTCGTTGATTTGCT